GCGTGTGTGTGTGTGTGCGTGTGCGTGTGTGTGTGCGTCAGCGAGAAGGACGACGAAGGGAAGGAAGGAAGGAAGGAAGGAAGAAGGAAGGAACGTGGCACGCACAACCCCCAATGTGTGTGTGTGTGCACGAACCAATGACACATCCCCATCTCACCCCACTTCATCTCACCTCACCTCACCTCAACTCACCTCACCTGCCTGTCAGCAGCGACGACGACGACCATGGTCACCATCACCATTCCCACCATCATCACCATCACACACACACCAGAAACAACGGCGAGTGGATTGGTTGGTTGGTTGGTTTGAAAGCAGAATCGGTTGTTTGCTCGTTTCTGCTTGCTGCTGGTGGGGTTTTGGTGTGTGTGCGATTTTCCTCTTCCTCTTCTTTGCTTGCTGCTTGCTGGCTCTGCCTTCATAAATTGCTTGTCTTGCTCTTGTGTCGGCAACGTTCATACCAACGGGATCACGCCCGCTCTCGTCCGATCGCGGAAGCTAAGCCCGTTTGGGCCCGTTCAGTACTGCCGTGGGTGACCAGGCGGGAATCACGGGTGATGTTGCTCTCTCCCTTTTTTTTTCTCTCTCCCATATGGGGTGCTGTCGCTGCTGTGGTTGCTGTTGCTGTGTTGCTGCTGTGGTGCTGTCTCTCCTTCACTTCCCTCTCCTCTTGGCTTGTTGCTTGGTTCGGTTTACTTCTTTTTCTTTGCTTGCTGACGTGCTTGCTTCCACTTCGTGGGGTGAAGAGGTGGTGGCGTGTGTTGGCTCATCTCTCTCTCTCTTGTTGCTTGACTGTAGCGTTGCTTTGCTTCACACACACACACACACACACACACACACACACACACACACACTGCTTGCCTGACATCGTGTCTTCTCAACGCGTTTACTTCCATGTACTGACGCAGAGGAATCACACACAGGTGGGCTGAACTAATGAACTAGTGACAGAGCTGATCTTGGTTACGCTGTTAAGACATCTTCGTCCTCTCCTCATCCTCCTCATCCTCATCATCACACGCAAACACATCACATGGGGGCATTGTCCTTGGCCGTCTTTCGTCGGTGGGCGAGGGGTGTTGCACCATACAGACTCCTGCATCACATCGTGTGGCGTGTCATAGGGCGTGCCGTACGCCAGCCCTTCCACTTGCATCTTCCCCCCTGCGAGCATTTGTGCGTGTGCGCCATGAAGGTGTTGGTGGTGGCAGCGAGATGTTGTGAGGTGACCGTGCTGATTCGCACCCCTGCACACACACACACACACACACACACACACACACACACACACACAGCTCACCTGCCACGCGTTGTCGCCGCTGAACAGGTTGATCCTGGCAGACTCCAGTGCTGACAGAAGCAAACAGCACAGTCATGACACACGAGTTGGCAGATGGTGAGAGTGGTTGAATGGACACGAGAACACACACCATACCATACTCCCCGCACTCACCCGACAGCCCCCTGTGCCAACAACATACTCCCTCACCTGTGTGCACTTGGGTGGAGGGACTTGAAGAACCCCTCAAACACAAACACAACGCGTCTCTGCATCATCTCCACCATCTTATCAGGGATCGACCGCATTATCCTCGGAAGCTGAACACAGTTGTGTGTGTGTGTGTGTGTGTGTGTGTGTGTGTGTGTGTGTGAGCGACGTGATGTGCAAGCCATCACCAACCACAATCCCCACTCAAACCACATCACCCCTCACGCATCACTTCACATCCCCATGTCACCGATCTGTCACCACACCTCGAGGATCCCTTCACATGCCCATGTCACCGATCTGTCACCACACCTCGAGGAGCCTGTGTTCGGGGAATGCGGATGCTGAACGTCTCCCAGTCCAGCAGGCCCTGGTAGGGCTGCAAGAATGCAAAAAGCAAACGGCAGAACATCACATCGCAATACCATGAGCGACGGGAGGGGTACATCTCCACACACACACACACACACACACACACACACACACACACACACACACACACACACACACACACGAATTGTCATTCATCCATACGCACCAGCACGTAGTGATCGACGACAATGACGGGGATGGCGCCCGCAGCCATGATCTATGAGGCATGAAAAGGGGTGGCAGGAGATGGAAGGTAGGTAAGACCACAAACGAGACCGAAATCGTCTGCAACACACACACACACACACACACACACACACACACACACACACACACACACACACACACACACACACACACACCTGAAGGAGTGGTAGCCAAGTCCTTCCACGATGAGCCCAAACTTGGTCTCCAGCGTCAGCTCCGTGCGTGTGTATGTTGAACTCTTCCTCTGCCTGCTTGCACGACGGGTCATATCCAACCTTCCCTTCACGACCCATTCGCTCTTCGCCAAACCACCGGCACGCGCACACTAACACAATGCCCCTGCATACGCGCGCAGACACAGGCGATGTGTATGTGTGAGTGAGAGAGGTGGATCCAGACAGATACTCACACAGCACCAAAACCAGTTGACTCCGAGGCAACGTACGAGACACACGCACGGAACACAGTAACACATAACACATCACACGCGTATCACACCACACCTGCCGTTGTGCAGCTTTGGGAGGTGGTTGCGCATGGCATCAAGAGCGAGCAGACTCGGTAGTGCTTCTGCACAACAGGGAAAGAAGACACACGTCAAGCAGCGGCACCACAACAGGTTTGGAGTGAGGTTGCAGCGGCTACAAGAAGCGCGAGTGGTGGTGCAGTGAGCGACACCGACCTCTAAACCCAGCAGCAGCAGTGACCATCGAACCCCACATCGCACCACGTCAAAACACACACGCATGCATGCACAGACCTGAAGGTGACGAGGATGTTCCTGTTTGTGTGGGCGGAACGCGTCACTGCTCCGATGTGAATGAATGAATGTCACCATGGAGAAGAGTGACATGGACACACCGAGGCCGTCACGGTGGTGGAATTCACTCAGGCCAACCTGATGCAGGTGGTGATGAGAAACAAGGTGGCATTGGTGAAGTGTAAGCAACAGCAGTCGTCGATGGTGAGCGCAGGCACGCACAGTCATGTTCGAACACACACACACACACACACACACACACACTCACACACACACACGCACATTGTACCTTTTGCAAGAATGACGTGTTCTGCATGCCAGGGAGACATGGTGCGTCGCTGTACTCAAAACAGAGATATGGTAGCGGCCCTCGTTCCTATACACAAGTCTGGCATGCATCATCACATGGTGAGCATGGTAAGCGTGGTGTGTGTGTTTTGGAA